TCCGGGCGGGGCCCCGGGGAGACGTTGCCCACAGTGAAGCCGGTCACCAGTGGCAGGTACCAGCTCCGAGCACCAACGGGGCGTCCGGCAGCCACTCGGCCCCCAGGTATCGCAGGGCAGAGCCGTGGCATTGCGGGGCCTACGGTGGAGTGGGGCACCTCGTCCTCCCTGGTGGCACCGGGTGATGCCTGATGCAGCTGAGCACAAGTCCAGCTCTGCAGCATCCTCATGGGATAACTGCTGTGCCTGGCTAAACCTTCCCTGCCTCACAGCTGGCCCCTGTGCCTCAGTTTCCCTGGGCAGAGAGGGGCTGTTGGTGGTGTTCCCCCGGGATGTGCAGGGCTTTCCATCCCTTCGCAGTCTCCATCTCGCGGGAGCTCCCGTCCGAGGCACAGCAGGTCCAGACCCAGCTGCACCGGAGCTGCAGCGAGGACTTCTACGCCTACCACAACGTGCCCTGGAAAATATACATCCGCAAGGAGGTGCGGGGTGGGGGGACGGGGACAGGCTGGTGTCAAAGTGCTGCGGGGATAAAGGGGGCATTTTGCCGAGCCTGAGGCCCTGCAGTGTGGGTGATGCCAGCAATGCCGTGCTGGTCTCCCTCCTGGCAGGTTTTCTACCCCAAGGACAACATCAACAACCCGCTGCTGCTCGACCTCATCTTCCGGCAGGTGAGACACCAAGCTGGCCCCGAAGCCCCCCTGGGAGTCTCCTGGGAGCTGGGCTATCCCCTCACTGGGGTAATGGTTTACTTATCCCAACATGGCCATCCCATCTTCCCCTGGCGAGCTGCCGTGAAGGAGCATGGGGTGTCCCCATCGGGCCAGGGGGCCAGGCAGGGCAGTGGGGCTAGGGGAGCACACCGCTCCCCCCGCACAGCCCCGCGCCTCCTCACCCCCTTCCCCAGATCTTCAACGACACGCTCTCCGACACCTGCATCCGGATCAGCCAGGAGGAGCGGCTCCGCTTGAAATCCCTCTTTGGTAACCCCTGCCTGCACCGCTGCATCCTGCTCCTCCTGGGTCAGGGGGCTCACACCTGGAGCCCCAAACCTGGGCATCTCACACCCAGCCACTCCGGTGCCCATCCTCATCTCCTGGGCACCTCCAAGCCACAACCAGCTCTGCTTAAAGCTGGAGTAGTTTTGCCTCCAAATACAATGAGCCCCCTGTGATTTAGTGCTCCACAGTCACGAATTCTGTCAGGTCTCAGCCAGGCTAGCTGCCTTAGGGGGTGCCCCGGGGGTGGATCTGTCTCACCATCACAGTCCTGCTGGGCTGGGGAAGGGCATGAGCATCCCTGCTCTCACCTTGAACCCTTGTGTCCGGATCCTCCCCAGGGAGGGGGGGACGCTCACCAGGGGATATTTCTCCCCACAGCGGAAAACAAGCTGGACTCCTTCAGCCCTGTGGCCACCGAGAGTGTCAAGAGGGAGATCATCGCCGCAGCGCGGGATGGCTGTGAGGTGTATTTCTCGCGCCTCTTTCCCGCCACGGTGAGGATCCGGCCATGGGGCAGGTCAGTGTCGGGGGCACCGCAGCCCCGTGCCTCCAGCTGAGGCAGCGTCCTGGCCCACAGGGCAGCGTGGGGACAGGCGTGCAGATCCTGGCCGTGTCCCATGCTGGTGTCAAGCTGCTGCGGCTGGTGAAGGGCACCAACGTCCCTGGGGAGCAGCTGCGGGTGCTGCGGGCATACAGGTAGGGGCGAGGAGCCCGGGCAGTCAGGGTGGGATGGGTGCTTTGGGCGTCGGGTGTTTCAGCCTCCCCTTGCCCCGCCGCAGCTACGCCGACGTGCTGTTCGTGACCACCCCGTCCAGGAATATGCTGGAATTCAACCTGCGCAGTGAGAAGCTCATTCTCTTCTCCCCCAAAGCCCCCCAGGTCAAGGCCATGGTTGACCACTTCATCACGGAGCTCAGGAAGGTGGGGGGTGCCCCGGGGCCAGGAGGGCGGCTGGGGGCATGTCCTGGGGGCCGGGCCCTGCCTCTGTGCCCACATTTGGGGGTGGGCAGCGGAGGGCACCCTGCAAATGGGAGGGTGCCTGGGGTGAGAGGGGAGTAGGGGGGGAACCCTGGGGTGATCCTGCGGCTGTGGGTGCTTGAAGCCCCTGTGCTGAGTGGGATGTGGGTGTGCATGCGTGTGCGTGCGTGTGCCTGCATGCACAGGCTGTGCCAGCCCCCCCTGTGCCCAGGACTCCCTGTATGTGGTGGCTGTGAGGAACTACAGCCCAGAGGACGGGAGCCAGCTCAGCTTTCACAAAGGGGACATCATCCACCTGCAGCCGCTGGAGTGCCCTGAGAGAGGTGAGCGGCCCCCCCACAGCCCCCCCCATGCCGAAACACTCTGGATGGGGAGCACAGGGGCAGCAGAACTGATGGCTTCACTGGCCCCGGAGGTGGCCGTGCCCTGGCCTTGTATCCTATGACACCCTGTGTCCCCACAATGTCCCTGCAGACCACTACTATGGCTGCGTGGTCCGTAAGAAGGTGATGTACCTGGAGGAGCTGAAGACAGGCACCCAGGATTTTGGTGGGTGCCATGCTGTCCCTGTGCGTGTCCTCGGTGCACGTACAGCTCCCTGGGCCGTGTCCCCTGCTGGGACTGGGGCATGGGGCAGGATCCCTCCTCTGCCACCCCCCAGCAGGATGGTTTTGGCTCTTTTCCGCACTGACCCGATGCAGGGGGATGCTCCCCTGTGGTTCCCACCCTGGGTGGCACCAGGTGCTGCCCCACGTCCCTGCAGATGATGGGCTTTGTGGCCTCTGGCCTGTGCCTTTACCCTCAGCAATGCCAAACTGCAGCCATTTACAGCCAAAACCCATGGCCAGACCCTCTGGAAAGGGCTTGGGGTGCGGGGGCAGGAGGGAGTGGGCAGAGGCTTTTCAGGGGTGACCCCCATGGCTGCCAGCCCGGAGCCATCCCCACCATCTGCCCATCACAGGGTGGAAGTTTGGGGCCATCCATGGCAGTTCAGGGCTCTTCCCTGCCGAGTACGTCCAGCCCGTCGTGGCCCCCGACTTCGTCCATTTGCCAGCAGAGAGGAAAGAGGAGCCCAGGGACAAGCAGGGCAAGGTGGCAGCTTCGGCGGCTGTGGCTGTGGCCGTAGCCTCCACTGCTGTGGCCCAGGAGCTGGACCGGAAAACCGAGGTGGGTGCTGGTCTGGGGCTGTTGCCGTCACGGTGCCAGCTGTGCCCGGCGCCCACCGCCCCACTCCGCAGGCATCCCCCACCAGCGCTGCCCTTGCGGAGGGTCCGGAGGGAGACAGCGGCGAGCGGCTCGGGGCCAGTGCGGGGACCTGCCCCATGCTGGCCTTCGCCCAGCGGTATTTCCGCACACTGCGGCACGGGACTACGTGAGTGCCCAGCAGCGGGATGGGGACACCCCAAGGCGGGGACATCCATGCCCACCCGCTCTCTTGTCCCTCTCCCAGAGAATCCTGTGGGACGAAGGCCAAGAGGGATGTGCCCAATGTGCTGGAGATGCTGATGTTCACAAAGGTACGGTGAAGCAGCGTGCCTCGGGGTGCCCCGGCCCTGCTGTCACCCGCAGGTCCCCCTGAGGTCCTGGTGTGCTCGGGAGCTCCCCAAATGCCACCCCAACCCCCATCCCATCCCTCATGCTGCTCCTGGGAGCTGACCCTCTCCCCCTCCAGACCCCCATCCAGGAGTCGCTCATCGAATTCGTGGATGGTGGCATCAGCAAACTGGCCGCCGAGGCTTTCCAGGGTAGGTGAGGGGGCACAAGCACCCCGTCCCCCTGCCCCATGGCCATCCCCAGCCCCATCCTTGGAGGAGGGTGGGAGCAGGACCGGGGTGGGCAGATGGGGTGGCCCAGTGAGGGGGTTAGCCCCTCTGGTCCCACTGCCCCAAGTGCCCAGGTTGTTGCCCACACACAGGGGAGTGTGTCCCCAGGGAAAGGACAGAATGAGCTGTGTCACCATGTGGCTTTGTCGTCCCTAGCTGTGATGAAGTTCATGGGCGACCACCCTCTGAGGGGGCAGACGGAGCTGGACGCCATCTGCACCATCCTCAAGGTAAATGTCCTGCTTGGGCGGTGAGTCCTGGGGGTGGCCTGGGCAGGGGGGTGGCAGCTGGGAACGTCCCCAGCCGCAGAGTGAGCTGTGTCTGTCGCCAGCTGTGTGCGGAGCACGAGGTCCTGCGGGACGAGGTGTACTGCCAGATCATCAAGCAGGTCACCAATAACACCAGCTCCAAGCCGTGAGTCCCTGCACCCATGTTGTCCACCCTGGCTGGGGCAGCAGAGGCTGGCACTGGGGACACTTTTGTCCCTGGCTGGGCTGAGCCGCCCCAATGTGGGGGGAGACCCGGGGACCCCACCCTCGCAGTGGGCTGCGCTGCTCCCCGGGGCAGTGGGTGCCGTTGCAGCCGCCATGGGCACCCTCACCCTCCCTGGGGGCTCAGCCCTGGCTCTTCCCGGCAGGGACAGCTGCCAGAAGGGCTGGAGGTTGCTCTACATCCTCGCTGCCTACTACAAGTGCTCCGAGGTGCTCAGGCCCTTCCTCCTGGCCTTTCTGCAGGATGCTAGCAGGCACCCAGAGCTGCCTTTCCAGGGTAGGGGCTGTGCATGCCCCAGGGTGCTGGGTGCACGGCGGGGAAGGATGCCCGGGGGTGTCAGAGCTCCAGAGGTGCTTTAGCAGAGCCAACATCATGGCTCAGCCTTGTCCTTCCCCCCCGGTCCCTGTCCCCCCAGGCATCGCCAAAGCCTGTGAGCAAAACCTGCGGAAAACCCTGCAGTTCGGCGGCCGCAGCCTCTTCCCCAGCAGCATGGAGCTCAGGGCCATGGTGGTGAGGCTGGGTGCTCATGAGTGCCCGTGGGGCACGGGGCAGGGCTGATGCTGGGTTGAGATCTCCCCCAAGAGGTTCTGGATTCCCCATGGGCTTGGGATCCTCCCTGGACACTGCCCTGGAGCTGAGCTGATGGCTCCTTGCTGGTGCAGGGAGCATGGTCCTTTTTGGGGTCTGCTCTCCAGGGGCACTGCTTTGGGGGTGCCCTGAGCTTTCAGGGGTCCCCAGCAGGGACACAGCTCTGTGCACGTGGGGCAGGGGGGCACGATGGCTCACCCAGGCAGGATAGGCAGGACACAGGATGATCCCCATAGGATGGTTCCTGTGGAACATCTTGGGGATTGGGAGTGTCCTTTGGGGTCTTGCGGTGCGAAGGGCCCCCCTGCACCCCAGCGTGTCCTCTCCATGCAGGCTGGACGCAGTGCCAAGCGCCAGCTCTTCCTCCTGCCCGGCGGCATCGAGAGGCACCTCAAGATCAAGACATGCTCGGTGAGTCAGAGGGGGCAAGAGGCTCGGTGCACCCCGGGCTTGCAGTGACACCCCCGGTTGTGGGTGCTCTGAGGGTGCAGACATGGCGGGGCTGCACCCCTTGGCTCTCCCTGAGCTGGGGGACTTTGTTCTCTGGGAAAGGGAGATCCCTTCCCTGGGGAGCTACATGGGATGAGCCTCAATGCAGGACCCCGTTGGTGGCCCCAAGGGTGGTGGGGGGATGTGGCAGCGTCCCAGCCACCTGTCCCGGTGCCCAGGTGGCTCTGGATGTGATTGAGGAGCTGTGCTGCGAGATGGGGCTGCAGCACCCGGAGGCTTTTGACGAGTACATCCTCTTCGTGGTGACCGACAGAGGTGAGTGGTTGGCGGGGACGGGACGGCCGTGCCACCAGCGGGTGCCACGTAAGGCAGCCGTGCTCAGGCCCCCGGGGCGGCACAGGGCAGAGCGTGCGGCCGCTGACCCGCCGGGAGTACGTCCTGGACGTGGCTGCTGAGACGGAGCGCCGGGATGCCAGCTACACCTTCTGGTGCCGCCGCGTGGTCTGGAGCCAGCCCCTCAAGTTCGACAATGAGCTCTACGTCACTGTCCACTACAACCAGGTCGGGCCACCCTGCCAGACTCCCCCAGGGCCACCTCCCTGTCCCAGTTCCTGTAGCGTGCCCCGTCCCCAAGCTGTGTCCCTGCGCTCTGTCTCCCCCAGGTGCTCCCTGACTACCTCAAGGGGCTGTTCACCGTCCTGCCGCCCGCAAGGCCGGGAGAGCAGCACTTCCCACACGCGGCCAAGCTGGCCGCCCTCCAGCACCGAGCCAAGGACCGCCACCACCTCCCCACCGTGTACGGCCGGGGGTGGAGGGTCGGGGGGGACACGTCCCATGGGGTGCAGCGCTGGCCAGCGCTGGCCCTGACCTCCGGCTCCCTGCAGGCGGGAGGTGCAGGACTACATCCCTCCGCAGCTCTTCTGCCTGCTGAAGGCCCAATCCTGGCTCCACATGGTGACCCAGCACATGCAGCAAGCCCAGGCGCTCAGCGCCCACCAGGCCAGGGCACAGTTCCTGGGTGAGCAGGCACAGGACCGGGACGGGGAGGTGATGCTAACAGGGAGGTGATGCTGCTGGGCATGCATTGGTGCTGGGGATGCAATGCTAACGAGGACCCAATGCTAATGAGGATGCAATGCCGCTGGGGGTGCAATGCTAACGAGGACACAATGCTAATGAGGATGCAGTGCTGCTGGGGATGCAAGGCTGCTGGCGATGCGATGCTAACAAAGATGAAATACTGCCCGGGATGTGATGCTGCTGGGTGGCTCCTCTGCGGGGAGTCTGGGACAGGCAGACCTTGGCGCTGTGTGGAGCCTGGGGTGCTGCACAGCCAGCGGGATGCTGCACACGGGGGACAGGACCGCAGTGGCGGGGCAGGGCAGGGCAGAGCAGGCTGCTCCCAAGCCCCACTCTCAGCCACCCACTTTCCCAGCAAGCTGCAACAGGAGCCCCTTGGCTGCTCCTGGGTCTAATCCTGCTCCAAGTCCGGAGCCTGAAGTGGTGCAAGGCTCTGGGAGCCAACCCAGCTCCTGCCAGGCATCGGGCTGGCTGGGACCCTTGGCAGAGCCCCCACGGGTGTGAGCCACCCTGGGGCCCGGGCAGGAGGGGGTGGCAGCGGGCACTGAGACCCCATCCTCTGCCCCGCAGGGCTGCTGAGTGCCTACCCCATGTTCGGCTCGTCCTTCTTCTACATCCAGAGCTGCAGCAACAATGCCATCGTCTCACCCTGCATCCTGGCCGTCAACCAGAATGGCCTCAACTTCCTCAGCAAGGAGACCCACGTAGGTTGGGGGCTGTGGGGGGCTGTGGGGTGCACCGGGTCCCTGTGGGCACCACCCAGCCCCCCTCTGCTCCTGCGTGGGGGGTGACATCCCTCTCCAAAGGGGGCAGGGTCCCCGGGTTTGCCCCCAGCAGGCCAGCTCTGCCCACCCCTGCCCACCCTGTGCGGGGGTCTGCATCATTGGCACCCTCCGTCCTGCTCCTGTCTGCACCCGCCCCGGTCCTCGGTTCCCTTGATGGGGTCCCCAGGACATGCGGGCCACCCCTCGCCGTGTCCCTCCAGGAGCCCGTCGCCAAGTTCTCGCTGAAGGAGATCCAGTCGACGCGGACGCAGCGGCCGACGGCCGGATCCAGCTACCCCTACGTGGAGATCACGCTGGGCGACCTCCTGGCCCAGGGCATCACCCAGCTGCAGCTGGAGCAGGTAGGGGACAGCCGGGGGGGTCCGGGGGACCCTGCCGGGGTGGCGGCACGGCCAGTGACGGCGTGTCCCCCTCGGCAGGGCCTGGAGCTGTGCCGCGTGGTGGCCGCGCACATGGAGAAGCTGCTGGGCGCCCGGGAGAAGAGGCTGACGCTGCCGCCCAGCGGGATCACCCTGCTCTGAGCCCGCCGCCGACCCCCGCCGGGGGCGCAGAGGGGGCCTCCGC